TCTGAAAACTGATCTCATTGCATGGTTCTTTCCTCACCCATAAGCTTCAAAAATACAATTCTGTAGGATTGAATGAAAAAATGCCCTAAAGCTTTTGCCTACTTGTTAGAATCATGATATGTATCAAAGAAATACTGAAAACAGTAAATAGCTGTTATCCATTTAGCAACCTTCATCACATTTTCAAAACGAAAAACAAAACACAATCATGTTAACATCAAACAAATACTTTTGTCAGAAAATGTTATGGAATTAACTGAAAATTTGTGTCTTGAGATATAATGCAGTCTGGTTGACTGATATGACAGAATTCCATTGGCTTCAGATAAAATAATGTATTACATCATTGATTCAGGGTTTGAACTGATACCATATGTTTGCATCATATCAATTACAGCACTTTAAATCATTATGTATCTTCACTGGTTTTACTGGCCAATTACTGTAATATGAAACTAAGTACAAGAAAACAATCTTTGGAGATTTTCACTACACGCAGTTGAAAGACATAATTCCTTACTCTTTTTTGCTGTGCCTACAATACTTAAGTACAATATTACATGTGGACTGTCTGCCTTAAGCTTTGATGGTATAGGACTTTCCAATAAGAGTGAACACTTAACAGTCAACTTTTTGCATTCCTGTTCATCATCCTGTCTTGGGAGCTGATACTCTGAGATACGAAGTGCCCTCGGCTGTTACAAGAATAAGAATTAAGGACTCTTGGTCTGATAGGAACAACTCTGAATGAAATTTAGTGTTCTGCAGTACTGTCAGTTTATTATGTGTGATACACCAGACATCATACAATATATGTGTGGTTAGAGTTATCCCTTTTTGACCCTGCCTCCTGATTAAATAAGAGGCAAGTAAATTAATTTTTAGACTACAAATTAACCTAGAGCAACTGTACTGTCATTTTTGATGTGCATGTAAATACAGCTTGAAACTGGCAAAGTCATCTTGCTACAGAATTACCCTTATTGGCAGTGTAGAATGTTAATTAATCCATAGGAATCTTTGTGCAAAAATAAATCCAAACAGTTGAGATGTCTTGTTATCAGTGTGGTATAGCTTTCTGCTCTGAACATCTATTTGGAAAAAAAAAAATTAAGGGATCATTTTAGTTTCTGAAGTACAAATATTCTAGTGTAGGGAATGTGTGATTACTTTTCTGTACATTTCAGAATTGTGTATTAAACCTTATATAAAATGGTTTGCTTTAGACTTTGTTCTGAAATGTGATATGTTTGCCATAGTTGTATATGCCTGTTTATGGCAGAAATAGGTTTTGCTTAGACTTTTGTGTGTGCATGTTTTACATGAAAATTTTTGTAGCACAAATACATCTTAGAAATTAATCATGACTGTGCAGTTTGACTGCACAGAACTGAATCTTTCTCATTACGAGAACAGTTGCAAAGGAATGCACTGGCACTAAATTTGCCATTTAATGGCTGCAGTATACTAACAGAACGCATCCTATCAAATGTGGTGTTAGTGGGTCCTTCAAAATAATTTAGAATACCTTTTAATCAGTATGAAAATCAAAAGTTGGTTGTTTTCACATCTAGACAGAGAGAGCTCAGACAATGTTTTACTATGCTCATGTTACTCAAGAGGAGTCACATCCTGTGTTTAGTAGAGAAATGGAATTTGCACACTTTTCATGCCATTCAGCATCAGTTACAGCAAGGAAGTATGCAGGCCAAATTTTGTTTTAACATTAGAAATAGTTAAAAGAGCATTGTCATACTCTCTCTGACAATAACATTAATTTATGGCAGTTGTTTTCTACAGAAATTTAAAGTATAACCCAGTAATGTGGGCTTGCAGATCTGCAGAATCAGAACTTCAAAAAGCTGAGGCCACAGCTTTTAGAAATGATTACTACTTAATACATTTATTTCCCAGTTATTTCTAAATTCACCAACAAGAGTCATGTTCAGAGAAGATGGTGATCCAAACAGAAGTGTCAAACTTTTCTGTTACATAATCTCAAATATTCAGGTGCCTCAAACATGTAGGTACTGTAATGAGAACACAAGCACAAGCTGCTAAATTATATTCAAGGCAGAGAAACTGCAATTACAAGATACATTGAACTGGAAGGGCATTATGTAATCAAAACACAGGAAAGTTCACCGATGTAAACAATTATTATTTGGATGACATCTTAAGTATATTATAAACTTAAAGAAAACTCTGTTAAAACTGGAAAAAAAATCTTCCACTTATCTCTAGTAAATGTTCTGTTGAAACTCTTTGTATTGTGGTCTGTGAAATCACCTTTCAGTGACTTCTAGACCATAGCCCAGAAGGTATTTCGTGGGAGATTGTGGAATTGAGTTACATATAGTATATACGTGGCCAATAAAGAGCATACATTAAAACCTGAAACCAATCTCAAATACTCCTTTTATACCAGTTTGCTAGGAATAAAGTGCAAAAAAGAGACACCTACATCATTCTGTAGTGTCCAGTACTGAATATAAAGTGTTTTTAATTTAAAAGTGCATACATGTATTTGTAGAAATCTAGCCAAAAAAAAGCCATTCTAGCTATGAGAGCAAATTCTCAAAAAAAAAAAAAAAAAAAAAAAAAAAAAAAAAAAAAAAAAAAAAAAAAANTATTTTTATAAAATTATACAGCTCAGATATTCAAAAGACAGCCTAAAATAAATTATAATAATATAAACATTTAAATAGGAACCAAAGCATTGCCATTTATATTGCCAAAGGAGGCACTTTGTATTTTAAAACATAGGAAATTTAAGTCCCCAAAAGTGTTATCTGTACTTTTTTAAAATTAAGGATGTAGATATTTTCAAAGCTGTTTTTGATGTTTAACAGTACAGATTTGTTTTTGTTGTTTGAGAAATTTGTAGTAACTAATAGCACAGGCTTTTTTTCCAGATAGGAATTTCTTCACAGTACTGCTTGCAGTAGAAATAACGCTAACCCTAGTAGATGTTTCTCTTCATCTTTTCATAGTCATAATTATGTCTTAGCATCTCATTTTGTGAAAAGAAGAAGATAAACACCTGTCTCTGGGGCCCTCTTCATTTAAGCACTACTTTACTAAATGCAAATTATGGCAATCAGGGCGTCAGTTTATGTATTGCCTTTCTAGAACCATGATGCCTTTGTATTTGCTGTTTGCACCCCTAAAATCAATTCCATATGTTTGAATGCCATATGTTTTGCACATTGTACTGTATATATGTAATGCATACTGTATTTTTATATGTGTACTACATTTATCAAATATTTTGTACATAGTGGCAATATTGTAGCTACTGAGGAAATGTTTGATATTTCAGCATTTTTGCTAAGTGTCTCAAATAAAAAAGGAAAACTGTTCATTTGTCCATGGTTACTACTTAAAATGAAAAATATCATTCTGACATTTATGAGTCTGATACATTTGGCCTATGTTCTAAGTACCCTTCTCACAAAAAGGAGTAAGAACGAATCTGCACTTAGACAAACCCCAAAAGAATTATGGTTGTCTTTAAAATCAGAGCCAAAATCTTTAAGAACAGACTTCCCGAACCCTTGAAATTTAGGTTTGGATTTCCATTTTTCTTAGCATTTTTTTAATATAGCATCATTTACTCATAGCATGGCCTGGGTTGCAATGGACCTTGACGTTCATCTTGTTCCCTGTCCTGGGCAAGGACACCTTCCACTATCCCAGGTTGCTTCAAGCCCCATTGAACCTGGCCTTGGACACTGCCAGGGATGGGGCAGCCACAGCTTCTCTGAGTGACTCATCCAGTATCTCAGCACCCTCACGGTAAAGAACTTCCTCCTAATCCCCAATCCAGACCTTCTCTCTTTCAGTTTGAATCCGTTCCCCTTTGTCCTCTCACTACAAACCTCTTGTAATGCACTTTAATACATGACTTTCCCAAATTCTTCCAAGGTTTTCAAGATGTGTTGGGTTGTGAGATTTTGTATTTTTGATTTGCATTCTGCTCAGCTTCTAGAACACCTGAATGCATTTTTTCATGAGAATGAGCAATGAGCTGTTTGTACAAGCTTTCTTTCATTTAAATACATAGTATAACACTTCCCTTTGTGAAGGCGGTCCTGTAATAATCACCCACCCTTTCCTCATGAAAGTCTGTTCTACAATGATGACATTAGAAATTTTAATATTTGGTGAAATATTAAAAACTCCATAAAGTAGAAAATAGTAATTAAGTAAAACTGAAAAAATTTAAAATTACTAATAAACACTGTAAACTTCATATAATACCTTTTCTCTGTGAATTTTAACCATTGTAAAAGTTTGTAGGCTGTATATGCCACAAACTTACCTTTGATATCACATGCCAAACACAAGTATTGCAAAACAAAGTGCAGCACTTTTTGACTATGTATTTGTGCAATTAAGAAATTACAGCTGGAGTATAACAGAGATAAAGGACTTGTTTTGGTGTCAGCTGAGAGTTTGATTGTTTTACAGTGACAAAATACAAAATACAAACACATAACCTTCTTTCACAAGCTGTGTTCATATTACTGTTTGATGTAAACACAAAACAAGGCTTGATAAAACTTGAGATTATGCTGAACTTTTTCCACAGGCTAAACCTTGATTTTCAGTAAAAACTCAATTTATTCAAACATGCTCTACAGATGGCCATCAGCACATTTGTCTTTACTGTGTACCACATTCAATGCCATTTGCTCCTGCCTATTGGCTTGTTGTTTATAGTACAGATGTTGCTAGAGAGACATATTTCTTAGAGTATTTGTAATGTCTCATGTAGGAGATGTTTCTTTGATGGCAAAGAAGTCACATGGATTTCCCCACACCTCAAAGTATAGTCTGCTACTTTACCGAGACATTCCTAACACAAAATCAAAGTAACAAATTAGAGCTTCTGAGAGCCAACAGCCAGGGCCTGGTGTTTTTCTATTCAAGTTGTTTATCCATAAAAGAAATTAGAAACTCTAAGATAAATAATTGCCTTCATGTAAAAAAATTACCTGTGAGTCTCCAGTCTTCTGTGCAGAAAAAGGACTGCAGGGCCACTCTGCCATCTACTGCATCATTCTTGAACCCCTTCCAAGAGAAGTGCTATGGATTAGAAACTAAAATAGTGAACAGAAACATTCTTTCATACAGCTAAAACAAAGTCAAAGCTCAAGTAACTCACTGAGGAGTAGCCCAGCTCCTCAGCATCCCATAGCAAGTCTATATAAAACTCAATTGCACCAAATCTACATAAATAGGATTGCTCCCCTGTATCTCTGAAGAGTCAGGGAATGTGTTGAAAGGCCTTGTTTTGCACGTGAAACAGGCATCAAAGCCTCTCCTAAAGCCAACACCTCCATCTCATATGGAAGCTAAGGAAAGAAAGAAAGAAAAAAAAAAAAACAACAGTTCATTATTCCTCCATCCAACAAAATCTCTGCCAGTATCTTTTCAGCAATAGAGTCCTCTAAGACTTCCCTTTTGAAAAGCCATGTTGTGTTTAAAAGAAGCTTGTGTCAGAAGAGAACAGCCCTTAATGCACAAGGAGGGTTCAGCATGGAGGAAGGGCTTTAACACCCAGCTCAAACAAGGGTAAGGACCAGCATAAAAGACACTTCCAAACAAAAGAATCCAGACACTGAAAGAGCAATTACAGTTTTTTAAAATCCAGGTAACTTTTTAAATTATAAAAGCTATTGTGATAAATCAGCACACCAATAAACAGCACTTTGTTTAGACAAAAAGTTTCTCCAGACACACTAAGGAAGTTAGGCTCAGAGAGTAGACAAATTTTTTAAACCTTATCAAGCATTTCCTATTAATTTAGTTAGAAGATCTTTATGAATTAAAATTGAAGATCCCATCTCTCCATATAGTTAAGGAAGAACTTGATGAACAGGAGTTGATTTACCATTAAATACTATTCCTGATGCCAAGCAAATACATTTAATAAAATGCAGTGTATTTGAAGACATAAACCCCACATTAATTCCACCAACAATTCAAACAGTTCTTGCACTCACCACAGAATTACCTCTCAGCTCACAAGGATCCAAAACCATTCATAAACACAGATGTGACCTGCACAGAAACTGTGATGACAAGTTACAACTGGCAGGTATGGCACATAATATATTTTGTAATAAGCAAGCAGGCCAGAAATGGCATATCATCAGTCAAACATGAATGATTAAAACTGAACTCCTTTCTGCTGTCAGCTTGGTAACACTAAGAGTAAGTCCTTCAGCCAGGGGAGGTAAGTGGCTCTCTGAGGCCACCCTGTTGATAAACACTAGAGGGGTGAGAGCTGAGGGAGGCAGCTTCCACTCCTACACACCATCACACTTCGAGATGCTGCAGTGATTACACTGACAAGACAAAAGCAGAATACAACAGTGCTATTCTCATTTCCCAGCTTTCCATAGTCCAGATGAGGGCATGTGATGCACAAGACTAGCAGTTAAATTCCAGCAAGCTTTTGGATTGGCCATGCCATCAGTTATGCCCACAGGGACTGGAAAACCAGGTCACTTTTGGGGCAGTTTATCCAAGGTAACAGCAAACACACTTTAAAAAGGCTGACTATCCAGTAAAGTAGTTTAAATTAAACACTTTTCACTGCAGGGCAAGGTAATTCAAATCACTCTGTCTAAGTACAGGCAGGCATAGAGTTATCACAGACAAACTAAAATGGTAAGTTTTAAAGAACTAAAATATTTTCATACAGTCAAGGTATCAGGCATGACTTTCCATTATGAGAATTCAAAGAACATCCCCAAAGGCTACGTAAGTATTTCCCTGCTCACTACAGAGTGGTTCAACTAGAGGACCTTTGAAAGTCTCTTCCAAGCCAAATTATTTTGGCTCTGTATCAACCTTGTAATGCATCTGCATTATGGCACTACCAAATCACTGCTCTGATCTAAACCTTTACAACTCTGTAGTATGTTCACATACTTCTTCCACAAGGAAACCAAAACTACACCCAAAGGAATATAAAACTTGGATATCAAGCAACAGTTTCATGGAGAATTTAAACAGACCTCCACAACGAACATTAAATGAAAACTAAAACTTTTGTTTTCAGGTCACACTTGTAAAAATCTAGGCGATCCCGTCTAGAAGATACCTAGTAAGTATCTTTTCTGCAATTCACAACGAGTTTTTTGAGGGAACAGCTACCAGGCAGCAAATGTGCTTAATTTAGTATTTACCATTTAGTTATTCCAACGTTTTGCATTCCTGTTTCTCTTCTTGGTGGAGGAAAGTTTTGATCCCGCTCTTTTCTCCCTCTGCAAGCCGCGCTGGCCGGTGCCAAGCGGCCACTCGAGCGCCGTCCCCGACGCTGCGCCCTCAGAGCCCCGGGGCCGCGCTGCACAGGGCGCTGCCCTCACAACGCCTCCGCAGCCGGAGGGGAGGCTCCTGGCAGCTCCAAGAGCGGGAGGCAGCGAGAGACGGGGGGAATCGAAGAAGGGAGGGCGAGAGCGAGAGCCAGAACGAGACGGGAGCGGCGGCAGCCCCGGCCGATCCCTCCCTCCTGGTCCGCCCCCTCAGCCGCCGCCGCGCCCTCAGCGCCTCAGGGCCGCGCGCCCCCGGCAGGTGGCAGCGCGGGCGCGCGAGGGCGGGCCGTGGGCGGGCGCGCGGGCGTGGCGCCAGTGATAGAAGGGCGTCAGGAGGAGTTCTTAACGCAGGCGCGGTGGCCAAGTGGTAAGGCGTCGGTCTCGTAAACCGAAGATCACGGGTTCGAACCCCGTCCGTGCCTCGGCGGGTCTGTGCAGGCGGGAGCTCTCCCCTCCTTTTTCGGCGGCCGCAGCCGGGACCCTGCACGGAGCGTCCGACCGGACCCGGACCCGCCCGGCACCGGGCACGGCGGCTCTGCAGAGCTCCGGCCGCCGGAGCGCGCCCCGCAGCGGTAGAGCCGCTCCCCCCGAGCGCAGGTACCCAGCACGGGTCTCATGGTCAATGTCGTGCCATCCACCTCGGTCGTTCCTGTCCGCGCCTCAGCGGCTGCCTGGCTGCCTTCCTCGCATCTGCAGGAACAGAACTGCTTTTCTTCGTTTTTTCTTGGAGCCTAATCCTGTTTTCAAGAGACCCTCAGCTCAGCCTGAAGGAACAAAAAATAGTTTGAAATGTGAAAGGCCAAGGTGACTGCTGAGGCCGAGTGGAAGTCATGTCAAACGCCTTTTCTACACAGCACTCTTAAGGCAAGTGCTGGTGCCTACCTTATTGTTCCTTCCAGACATTCCTAGGAGAAACAAGTGGAGCCTCTGCAGGGTCTTGTTTGAAGAGATCCTCCGGCTCCTTGTCTGAAGAGAGCCTTCTCCAGAGGCTGCAGCTATCCTGTAATCCCCTTTTCATTGGTTCACCCCCACCCTGCCACCATGTAATTAAATATTTATTAATTTTGTTCCGTCTTCTGATTAGTAAACCATGAGGTTTCTTCATGTGTATCACTAGCCACTTAGAAGGATTGTTTGCAATCTGATTAGTGTGTACTTTACATTTTCTAATAGGAAAAAACTCCCTGTGACACTGAAAATAGGTAAGGAGAGGGTGCAGTGGTTACGCTCACAGGAGCCCAGCAGTGCTCCCCTTCTCCAAGTGAAACAAACACTGGGTGCTTTGGACACAGATGATCCAGCAGGACCACAAGTGGCCAGGAGGTCCAACTCAGTGCCACTGACCAAACGAGGTACCAAACCTGCCCACACAGTTAAAGGGTTGACAGCACTTAAACACATCCTAACAGTATAAATAGGAAAATAATTACTAAATGAAGGAAATATTTATTGATTCATGTTTGATATTTACTTACCATTTGAAATTTTACTGACCACTGTGTCCACACAATCAATTTTGCTCTCTGCCTGACAAATCTTGCTCTCATATTCTGCACCACTGTTGTCAGGAATATAAACTGTACATTTGTTGTATGAACAGAAATAAATGTCCTTAACTATTTATACTGGATTTTGTAAATATTCTTCAATATTTTTACTTATGGATACAAAGGACAGTGAGCTACATCCATGTCCCTGAAACTACTTTCATAGGAGAGTTGTAAAAACTAAATGCAAAAATCAAACTCAAGGACAAAACACATATCTGATAAATACTGCTTTCTGTTTACTACAGTCTCAGGGATAAGCCTCTTGGGGAGGGTGGGGGTGAGCCACCTTGCCACTGATGATTAAAGCTTTCATATATTTGTGCTTGTTTTTTGGACAAAACCAGGTATGCATAAGAGCTGTGGCTCTTAACGATGGTTTGAGGCCTGTGTTAAATGACACAGAAATCAGATAACACAGAGCCTGTTTTTTCCACAGTTTGCAGACAGAACTTATATTTTGTTGAGTAATATTGCTAAACTATTAGCATGATAACAATGTTGCAAAGTAACATTTTAAGACATGTCTGTGGTTATCTATCTGAAATTAATTTTGTAATTAGAAAACTATCTGTGCACTCACAGCCTAGGAGAAACTTGTGTGGCCCAGAAATATAACTCTAGCAGCAGTTAAGAAGTAGAAATAATTAACATATCATACAGGTGTGCTGCCATTATGAATTCATTTACTTGATGTTAAACCTTTTTTCAGTGTTGCTCTATTTGCCTTCAACTTCTTTTTAGACAACACAATGCCCAAATTTTAAAATCTCTCATTTTAGGCCAGTTTTTCTACACCTCTAATCATCCTTGCTACAATCTCTCCAATCCTCTCCAGATGCTACATATTATTGTTGACCTGAGCAGCCAGCAAGGCTTAGCATTAGCACTCAGAGAGGGCATTTTCACCCAGCAGGGCTCACACGGATCCTGGCAGAGGCTGAGTGGGAATGTGCATCCCACACCCTGGGAATGTGCATCCCACACAAATTTAAACCCCAAACTTCTCTCTGGCCATGCCCTTGCCACTGCTGCACACCCCTGCTGCCCTGGCTCCCAAGGACACCTGCAGCTCATTGTGGCACCCACACGCCGGGCACAGAGGGTGAACCAGCAACTGTGGGGGCTGGGGAATGCCAGGGCAGAATTTGTACTACAGTCATGTGAAATGAGTCCTCTCCATAATCTAGTTTCTATCACTGCATAATTAAAAAAATAAATCCCTTACACTGTGCAGTGTCATTGGTGAATGCAGAAGGTGAAGAAAATTTAATTTAGTTTCATATTCTTTTTTTTTTTATATTGTCGCTGTAACAGCCTCTTGCTGCCTTTTAAATTTAATTTTACTTGTGACAACCAGTATGACCAACAGAGGACAGCACATCCATTTCTTTTAATGAAAAAGATCCTGAGCTTGAAACTGCCATTCACTTTTTCACTCAGGAAATGAGAGTGACAGGCAGAGTGGAGCAGTGTGCCGTAAGTAAGCCAGCCAGATTAAAAAGGCCTTTTTGCAATTAACTAGAGCTGTTTTGAATTCCAGGAGATTACTTAAAGTAAATCTACTTCTAACCAGGCATTATTGCTAACGAAACACTGTGGGTGCATGTCGGTGAAACCTGGGTCTGTATTTTGAGGCAATTGTTTGCTGAGCACTGCAATAACAGTTAAAACACACTTAGGAGTTAAAGCACACTCAGGAGTGTCAGGTGAACTCAGCTAATTCCCCTTCAAAGCTGCAGACAGACAAGGTGTCTGTAACCAAGTTTTGATTAAATGTGAGTGTTCATAAAACACTGAAGTGAAGCCAACTCCACTGTTTTTATTGCATTTGATTTGGGGGCAGAGAAGACTCTGCAAGTCATAATGAAATTCAAAGAACAAACCCAAGGATTTCATGTGGCTGAGGGGAATTTCATTAAGGAAATCCAATTAACCTGCAAGAGTTGCACACATTGAAATCTATTATCTTCCCCCAAAAGCTGGCTTTGTGATTTTTATAGCAACCTTTGCTATTCCTGGATAAATAATGCTTTATTACAAATGCACTGACATCTTTATATAATTAGGATTATAATAACATGTTCATTTGTCTCTGCTTTGCAAACATTCAATTCTGCTTCCTATGAAACATATCAAATAGTGTTTTTAAAGAAGATATGAGTCAGGATGGATTGGGCGTTAGACACTAGCACAAAGCAAACAGAGATTTAGGAGACACATGAGAAATAATGTGGCTCCTGACAGCATGCGGGTCTCCATTAGTCGATCAGGGCCTGATCCTGTGAATTGCTGAACTGAATTAATTAAGAGCCTAAGATACCATTAAGTCCATGGGGACTGACAGTGCTCAGCAGTACTCAGTGTTAAAGCCCTTAAATAAAAGCCAACCTACACATTCCGATTCATGTGAGTAACAATATTGCACACATCTACAGTGGGGACATGAATTATTCACATCAGTGTAGCATGAAAGATGCAAACGGCAAAGCCTGTTTAAAATAACACATAAACACTCAGTGTTTCTGTGATATGTGGGAGGGTTGTCATTTGGCCCATTTTTCACTCATATGTACATTCATTTTATTTGCTGCGTGCATAGGTCTGATAGGAGGATGTGGAAAAAATAAATACAGGAGATAGACATCTAGTAAACATTATTAGAAAATGAGGAAAGGGGGTTATTGATTAGCATTCTTCCCATATAAAACGACTAGATTGTATTGGAGAAATGTGAGTTAAGTGTTTTACCGTTCTTTTTTTTAACCATTATCTGATCAGAGAAGCATGAAAAGCACTTTATTGCCTTTTTTTTTTTATCCCTGTGCTAGGAGCCCTCTGCAGGAAGTGAAGCTGAATTTCACAAATCTTCCCTTTCTGACGTCTCCCGAATTTCTAGGAATACCCCTTCCCTGTTACTATATTTGGTGGTAGTTTCTAGGAAAAAAAATAATTTTCGGACGGTCTTGGACTCACCACACCTCCTCGCAGAGGACTGTGCGCCCCGGGTCTCCTGGCACGGCCCCCACGGAGTTGAGGAGCTCACGGCTCGGGCTCACAACTCCCGGCGCAGACTGCACGTCTTTGTAGCACTGTTGGAGGAATGAGCATGGAGAAGGAGTGGGAAGGAGAGAGGTGTCTTTGTGGCAACAATGAGTGAATCTTCTCTAGTTTTTTGGGGGGGTTTTTTGGGGTTTTTTTTTAGGTTTTTTTCCTGGCGGCTGCTCTTTGTTTTTTGGTTTTTTTTTTTTTTTTTTTTCTGCACTTTTTTCCCCCCCCGCTTTTTTCAAGGAAGAGGATCTTAATGAAAGAAAAGAAAACCCTGGATTTTTTTTTTTTTTTTCCTCTCCGCTTCCCCCCTCTCCCCCTCCCCTAGATGTGGCCTCTTGTTTAGCTTGTGGCGTGACCGTGATGAAGAAATGTTTCAGGGCGCCTGGCAGGGTGATCTTTTTATGTAATGAGTCAGGATTTTGCCAACGGAAGGAGCCGGCTCGGAGCGAGGACCGGAGGCTGTCTCCTTTCAAGAACGGGGACCTGCCCGGCGAGC